GGAGGATAAAGTTTTGCAGGACCAAATGCTGGGGCAGAAAAGAGGTACACAGATGTCCTCAAACAGGATTAGCAAGAGATTAGCTGTAAATTATGGAGAAACCTGATCAGCCGGGTGGTGTAGTAAGAACAGCCCTTTCTGTAAGTTACATCATTTGGTTTGGGGAAAATTCACTTCGTCTTCTCTGTTACCTCAAACTGTAAAAGCAGGACTTGGACCAGATCAGTGCTTCTGAAACTACAGTTCCTGGGCCAGTAGCGTCAGTATCTTCAGGGAACTTACTAGAAGTCCGTAAACCCACTCACCAACAACACCCCCCCCCCCCAGCAGATCTACTGCAGAAACTCTGGGCACGACTCTCCCCCAGTATATGTTTTAACAAGCCCATCTGATTATTCTGATGTACGTTAAAGTTTAAGAACCACGGGACTAGACTATGTTTATATTCCCACCAAGGGTAATAGCCGATGAGTAATTCCTAGGTATATAAAAGGAAATAAAATTTTTAGCAGGAAGAAGACAAAGACATGCTGAAAGGGAATAAGGTAATTTGGAAGTTTGGGGGGTTTAAAATGTGTATTAGGAGGATTTCTGTTTCATTAAAACCTGCCATTATTCAATATCTCAGATCACTTGAAGTCATGACCTTTTAGATCCCAAACCCTGCAGTCTCTGTGGGAGTATCTACTGCATGCCATGAAATGAAGATCTGTATTTCTATTAAAACTCACTGTGTGTGTCTCACACCCACAGGTCTATAATACTGGGCCAAGCACCCTTCCTGGGTCATCTGTCAGTATCACTTTCCCCAATCGACTGTCATCTGGAGGTGCAGAAATGTTTCATGTCCAGGAGATGATGGTGAGTTCTCGCTTATTGTCACTGTTGCCTTCAGATTCGAACTAGCCCATTCACATTTTGCCTTCTACCCCGAGGACCCAGAAAGTTTAGCTCATTCCAACCTTTAGAAACATACCTGGAGAAGCCGGGGACCCTCGACACCTGAATTTCTGCATTGGGACAGTTTGGTTAATGCCATAAGACCTCTCTGGGGATGGGGAAGGGTTGATTATGAACATAACTTCTGGGATAGACTTTTCTGGTTCTGGAAACTCCTGGCAACCTTAGGTGTGGCTAAGGCTACATTTTTCTGAGGGGAAGATCCACAGCATTCATGAAGATTCTCAAGGAGTCACCGAGGCCTGGGGGATGAAGGCTTAGTTCCTAAGACAGAGATGTAGATTGAAACTGACATTTATATACAGAATGTGTAGTTCTACTTGATTCTATGTCAACTGTCGATTTTATCTCAAGGGGAAGTTTGACAGCTAGTATGTGATCATCCCTCCCACCTCCTTGAAACAGTCTCCTTGGTTCCTCCTTTCTCACTGGCTTTTCTCCTCATCCCCCCAACATCTGTAGGGCTCAGGGTCAATCTCAGAGACCTCACCCAGACTCGTGGCTTTGTATTCAATGTGTGCTGATGACATCCAGCCCAGACTTCTCCCATGAAATCCAGACTTTAATGGTTAACTGCCTTCAGGCCATCTCTATCTAGATGCCTGACAGGAATCTCAATCTTCTCCAAAACTGTGGTCTTCTCAGTGGTCCCTTCCAAATCTGCTGCTCCCACAGCCTTCCCCATCTTAGCAAATGGCTGCTCAGTCTCTCCAGTTATTCAGATCAAAGACCTTGGATCATCCTTGACGCCTCTCTTCCCATACTTCACTTCTGATCTGCCAGCAACTCTAATGTCTCCACCTTCACACAATGTTACCGCGTGTTATACCTCCGCTGCCAGCACCCCACTCGCAGGTACCATCATCTGTCTTCAGTTATCGCAGTAGCCCCTCACTTGTGTCCCTGCTTCCTTCTGGGCCCCCCTGCAGTCTGTTCCTGGCCCAGCAGCAGAGTGAGCCTCCCAAAATGTGGGTCAGTCGTCTTAATCCAATGGCTTACCCACCCCCAAATCTTCCGGCACCCCAGCTGGCCCACAGTCTGTCTCCTGTCGCTCTGTGACCTCAGTTCCTCCTCTTTGACCACTCTCTCCACTCCTGCCACACTGTCCCTTGCTGGTCCTAGAGCACCAGCAGACACTGGTGCAGACACTTTCCTACCTCCAGAGCTTGCCCTTGACCTTCCCTCTACCCAGATACCCTTCCCCCAGGAAGCCACATGACCTCCAGCTTACCTCCTTCAGCTGTGTGCTCAAATACCACCTGCCCAGTGACACCCTCCCTGGCCGGCCTTGGTCCCGGCACTCCTCATGCCCTTTTCCTGCTCATACTCCACTGTCACCTTCGTCACCAGCTGACATTCCATGTGTTTTCATGTTTGACCAGTTTATCTGCCTCCTCCTGGCCCCCTACAGTATAAGGACGAGGGTTTCTCTCTGCTCACTGCGATATCTCCAGACCCTAGTACGATGCTTGGCATGTAATACATGCTCAATGTGAGCCAATACATGCTCAATACAGCCCAATATCTGTGGGCTGAAAGAAAAATCTACAGTCTGAAACAGAGTTGTTCACTCTGTCCGCATGAATTCGGGAAGAGAGCCATACTGTTCAAACTGCCTCAGGCTGATTCAGTCTGAAGTGGCTGGGTGTGAGGGGGGACCCTTCCTGGGAAGGACTGGGGCAGGATGCTCAAGTGAGTCAAGGCATGCCGTCACATTGAGAGAGTCACGGAATCATTGCTCTTCACGCGGGCACGCGAGGGACATAGCTCTAGCCAGACGAAGGGACGGTCTCTCCACCGAGAGCTTGAAAACTGGGGTAGCAAGACTCACCACATGTCACACATCTGAGCCGACAGTTGAAGCAGACGCTGCCCACAGGTGTGGAAAGCGTCATGTGATGGTGACAGCAGTACCTGGCATCTCAGTCCACTTGGGTCTTGTGGCCTGAAAACCCGGACCGTGTGAAGCGGTCGAACGTAGAACAGGTCGCCCCGTCCCGAGTCGCCTGCTTGGTCATTTTCTTCCCTCACGATATTCCATTCCTGTTCTGTGAAGAGCCCACGTCTGTGAGCTCTGCTGACACAGAAGAAAAGAGCCCACGTTCCTTCCCAGCGGTGTGCCGTGGCTTGAACCCGGCATAAGGTCACGCGTGCTCTTGTCTACCCCCTTAAATATTATCAGTCATACCCACCACTCCACCTATTCCCCCGGGCCCAGGAGCGTTTTCCTCTTCAGCGTGCCCTGAGAGTTGTCGGCAGAAACGTCTATAGGGTGGCAGAGAGAACTTTTTTCTTCATAGACAGAATTATTTATTGACCGAAACAGGAAATTTAAGTCACTCAGTTTCTGAGGGGATCTCAGAACCAACTACACCCCTCTTTCTCTTGACTGATCGTTGGACCAAGGAGAAGCCACTGGAACGGACTTTGGAACACATTTATAAATAGCTGGCTCACCTGGGAGGCATGAGACGTGGTTTTCCTGAAGGTCTGCAGAACTGCATGGCTGTTAGTGTAGCTGAGTGGACGCTCAAAAGCCCACATGGTGTCAGCTGGCCTCATTCCACTGTTGGAGTCCTCAGAAGCAAACCCGTTGGGTGTTCAAGGCCGTATTTAGAATTTTCATGAAGTCTGTAACAGAATCCGCAAGGATGGCCAAGCCTCCCGTTGGACACACCAACCGTGGTCAGAGGCTTACGGCCTTTTCGTGGTATGGAAAACCCAACTCACGGGCAGGCCTCGCTAAGCAGGTAGTGAAGCACCTCGTTCCTGAGAACAGTCAGGGCTGGATTACGACGACCCTGGTAATGTAAAGGTGATGCAGTGATGAGGTGAGGGTCCCCGGGTACCTGTTTCAGAGGCCGATGGGCAGGACATCCTCTGCCCTGAAGCCCTCGGGGCTGAGAGCAAGGGCATCCTGTTCTGAGGCAAGCTCAGCGTGTCCCCAGCTTCAGCCCCTCCCTTCCTCAGCAGAGCCCGAGAATGCTCCCTGGGACAGGTGTGGCCCCTAAAGCTCATGGCGTTCTCCACGTTGGCCCTCCGGGACTGCGAGTGGAGTAGGGCTTTCATTTGGGAGATTTGGGTGGCGTGGTGCAAGTGGAACTCACCCGTTTGGGGAGAAACCGGCCCTCGTTTCCTGTACCGCACAGGAGGTGACTCTCCAGCCTGGTGGCATCCCCTCCCCAGGCCACCTCCATTTCCCAGCCTGGGACGGCTGAGCGGCCAGCCGCCAGCTACAGTTAAGCCAACCGAAGCGCCCTCTTGGGGGAGGGCCCTCCGTCATCCCTCCCCACACCCCGTGGGACCCTCAGATTGTTTCCAACATTGCCCTCAGTATCTGTTTTGCCTGTGGTCGCCATCCACGTAGAATGCTAAGGGTGGGCGTGCCGTCCCCATGGGCACTGGGCCATCACCCCACCTCTGGCCCTGAGCCTGTGGCACAGGATTCCAGCTGTTGGCTCAGAATTCATTCAGGAGCATCTGGGCGGCTCAGTCGGTTAAGCATCTGACTCTTGATTTTGGCTCAGGTCACGATCTCACAGTCGTGAGTTTGAGCCCCACTTATGGGCTGTGTGCTGGGCGTGGAGCCTGCTTAAGATTCTCTTTCCCTTTCTCTCTGCCCCTCCCCTCCTCGATCTCTCAAAATAAATAAAGAAACATAAAAAAATAATAATGATTCAGGGGCATCTGGGTGACTCAATAGGTTAAGCATCCGACTCTTGATTTCAACTCAGGTCACGATCTCACGGTTTGTGAGATCGAGCCCCAACATCAGGCTCCGCACTGACAGTGCAGACACTGTTTGGGATTCTCTCTCTCTCCCTCTCTCTCTCTGCCTCTCCCTGCTGTCTCTTTCAAAAATCAATAAATAAACATGAAAAAATGGCTTAAAAAATAGTAATTCGTTGAGGCCCGTGGGGGGCTAGAGCTATGATCCCTGGGCAGGACAGACCTACGTCTAGGTTTCACCAAAGACTCTGTGTTTTCCCGGAGGGTTTCTTAAGGTCCAGCTGCTGTGAGTGGAGTGTGGCTTTGCTCATGTGGGAGAGATTTTTCTAGGGAGCCTAAGGAAGCGTGACCCCTTCATACTCCCAGCTGTGGTTCATGATCCTTCCTTGTAGCAAATGTTCTAAGCCCCTCCACTCTGCTTGTGTTCTATTTAGAAATAGAGCCACAGTGGTGGTCCGAGGAAAGACTTAATTTCCACTGCCTCCCACCCATCAGCGTTGTGCGGTGCCCTGTGGGGACACACTGACTTCTCACAGCACAGCAAAAATGTGGGTAAGCCGCGGTGAGCATGGTATCCATCAGGAAGCCAAGTTGCAATAACCATGATAGAGAGTGAGAGGGAAAGAACACCAGACTTCTCTGGACCATCTAAAATAAAATCATTGCAGGGATGCCTGGGTAGTTGGTTGAGCATCTGACTCTCTCTCTCTCTCTCTCCCTCTCTCTCCTCCCCCCCCACTCACACATGTGCACACTCCCTCTCTCTTTCATAAATACATACATACATACATACATCTATACCATGGCAAACAATAAATCATTCTGGGTTTCTTCTGCAGACACTGGCGGAAAAAGCACCTATTATGTGCCAGCCTCCGCTAAGAGGAATAAGTCACTCAGCACTTCCAGAAATTCAGACTTGCCGGAGACTGACCTAGGAAATGTCACTGCAAGACCATGTGCCAGATGCATGGAGGCATGCCCAGACCCAGGCACGTGGTAGAAAGGTGCAAATCCCACCTTGGGAAGGGCAAAGGAAACGCAGACTCTTTGAGTCAGGGCTGAGAGGATGTGTGGTTGTTCACCAGGAGAACACGCGAAGGGGAGAACTTTCCAGACAGGGAAAGGTCACCAGTTGTATGTGTACAATGGAGGCAGTATCTGATTCTCTG